TGTCCGATGCTGCCTGGAGCTCAGAGGCTTGTTGTGTTCGGTGTCATGTCTTCCTGTTTTGCTCTAAAGTCACATCACAGCTAAACGCCCACAGATAAGGTCGGGGCATGAACACACCGGCTCAGTGTTTGTGTGAAGGAGTGAACGTGAGAGAGGCCTTCAAAAAACCCAACAACAACCACAAACGCTGGGCTGGGTGTCGATAACGGAGAGTGAAAGAATCTTCACCTCGCCGCCACAACAAAACCCAAAGTTTGTTTGCGCCTCTCCGCTCGGCTTGGAGATGGACGACGACGGCGAGATAACACACAAAGACACATTCAGACAGAGGGAGGCCGGGCAAGACGAGGCACGTCCAGGAAGGAGCCCCCGAGACAGGAAGCGTCCCCCCGCCGCACACACACACCCTTCCTCAATCGGCCGACACATCCACTTCCCTCTGAAAACACTCCGATGACTGACGCAGAGGCCGTGCAGCGTTATCACCGCCGGCAGCTCAAATATGCGACAACACACACAGAGAGAGACGCCACCCAACAGGCTATTAAACCTGTCACCTCTCAGAGAAATCAAACACCTGCAGGAGAACTTTAAAATCCTCAAACAGGGTCCAGACGAATCGCTGAACCCTTCAGGTGTCGGGTAACTTTCACTCCTCCTCCTCGGCAGCACGGTCGTGTTCGGACTCGTCTCGGATCCTTCGGTCTGCTTCTCGAACAACAAACTCCTTCTTTCCCCCCAGCAGACGGTAACACGGCGCTCGTTAAAAACACCGCCGTCCCCCGACTCGGGTTCTGGAGACGCCACAAACAGACGTTTTACAACAGATTTCTATTGTGAGTTCTTAAACAACAAGTTACAGAAAACTAGTAAAAATACAGAAAAAAAGGTTTTAATTTACTAATCAACTGTAAACAAAAACAAAAAAATGACCCGAGCAAAACTGGCAATAACATCCAATTAAAAAAATTACCCTATTGTTTTTAGAGTATCTAAACTAGAAAAAAACTATTAAATTTAATTTTTGATATGTACCATTACTTGAAATACAAACCCATGTATATCGATGAGTTAGAAATGGTAAACAAATGACTGTTATATTATATTATATTTCCCCCATTTTGTTAAATCACAGAAAAAATCAAATAAAATTTAGATACTGAAAAAAAACTTTGTCCACAGAAAAAAATCAGTACTTTTACAAATATTAAATTCATATGATGCTTGACTGTAAAATTAAACTGTTAAAATGTAGTTAAATGTGTTTTAAATTTTTAAAAAATATTTCCTGTTATTTAAATTTATTTTTGCATTTTCTAAACATTAAAGTACTTTTCTATAAGTTTTTTAAAACATATTTTTTCTGCCATATTATCATAGTTTGTGACTTTAAGTGTTGAGGCAACAACTCTTATTTAAATCACCTTAAAGACTGTTCTCTACGTCTACTCAATTAAAAATAAACACAGCGAGGCTCAACACTGAGCAAGTTGTTTAAAGTCACATTCCACGTGGTGGTGAAATGATTTTATGGAGGAACAAGTTTGCATTTTGTTCATGAATTTTTTAGAAACCTGTGAGCATCATCGATTAAAGGTTCAAGGTGACGTCTACAGATTTATTCAGTCCAACCAACTAAACAGCAGCAGCCAAAGAAAACCAGTTTAAAGTCAGAAAAACCTGAGAAAATCCAAAAATCAGCACTTTTTGCAACTAATAATTACCTGCCAGTTTCACCAGCGCTATGAATAAAGGTGTAAGTGGAGGGTGATACCAATCTGAGATTTTCCATCAGTCTGACTGCTGTGGGATCCAAACCCGCCTCCTCCCCCGTCCTCCCCCGTCCTCCCCCGTCCTCCCCCATCCGCGTCCTCGGCTAACAGCGGTTAATGTAGCGTAGCTGCTCCGGCTAGCTGGACGTGACATCAGAGTCTTGGAGGAGGAACATTCGGCGTGACGGGAATGAAAGGGGCTATTGTTGGTCGTCCCACCTGTACAGAATAAACCGGCCTTATGGGGAACCACTGAGCCATGGCTGGCCCCCCCAGGGGAAGGAATTTGAGGTCACACCGCTCCGGGGATGCTGGGATAGAAACCCAAGCGGCGGGTTAAGACTGGAGGAAGAAACTGAGCTCTTTAAAGGCTTTTATGGACGCCGTCTGCTGCTGGGTATAATAACTTTTCATTTGGCTGCAGAAGTAGCCGGCTATAAAAACTATGGAGTAAAACGATATTACGCTCGTCCGGCAGTCTGTACGAAAAGTTTAATAAAAGAGATTCGCCGTGATTACATTTATTATTACCGGGATTAGTCTCCTCTCCGACCGCGGCCCGTGGATTGGTCTCGGCTGATTTAAAGTGTGCGCAGTGTGACGGTTAAAGGTTCACATCCCACAAAAACTACATCAATATGAAATCAAACTAAACACTGTGACCAACACACAGCCACGTCTCTGTATCAGTGTTCATGCAAACCTCCTTTCAACTGAATTCAAGAAAAAATAAAGTCTTCCGACAAACAGGTAAT